GGACGGACCGGGTAATAGCGTTTTCAAGTCGAAAAGTTTTCATCATTCTTTCGGTCGAAACGAGAAAATTAATGTCATCAAAAATAATAAAAGCATAATTTATGTATACACGCACATATATATATATATATATATGTATGATAGGAGGAAGTGTTTTAATGAAGAAAAAGTCCTAAGCGATAGATTATTACTGTACAGAGATCATAAAAACCGGCGGTTGCGGTGGCGAAAACAAAAAGAATTTTTTCTTCATTTTTTTTTTTTTTTTTGTCTTGACAAATGGACACTACAGTCGGTCGACTGGTGTGCTTTGCATCTCATAACTTAAAACCAGCTGTGCCTTTAATGGCTGGTGACATTGCGCCATTTTTTGGCACCGCCACCCGGATATGCTCTACTCGAAGACGTTTCCTATTATTATTATTTCAGCAGGTTTTTTTTCCCGTGTTCGGTCATCGTTTCGGTCACTACCTTTGAACCTGCTCCGGCCGTTTTCCAAAATCTGTCTTATAACCACAGGAAACGCTGAAAGTCAAATGAAATAACCATTTGCAAGTCCAACGATTCGGAATAGTAAAATAGTATTTTTCTGCGATTATCTCGAACCTAACAATACTGTTTGCACATTGATCGTCGATTTGATTTATACACAACAGATGGTATCTCAAAAAGCATAATTAAGCTGAGACCTGCAAAACTATTCGCTGAACGCAAAGTTACTACTTAGTAAACACCGAGGAAATTTAATGCATTCTAGTGCGTTCTTGTGTTTTAGTGCGAAAACCTAAACAATAATGCCTAATGCATAATTCCACCAAATTAATAACAAATATATTATAGAACATTCCTTGAGATAGAGACGTAATACTATTGCGATCTTTGGTAGACAAGTCAATAAGTAATTACAGTACCATTTGAAATATTTTTAATACTAATAAACTTATCAAGTGTGAAAGTTTTTTTTTTCACTTGTGCTTTTGTATTTTACATGATTTACGTGTGGACTTCATTTTCATTGTCCAAAACGACCATATTGTAACAATGACACATTTGACTTAGGTGTATAAATGGTTAAGATTAAGGTCATTACACAGTATACAATACGAATACTTACGATGCTTCACCTATGATATATGTAATGTATACATAAATATATATGTATATCATATTAAGCGTGCAATTAATTGGATTTTCGCGAATTTATACGACATCTAAATTACATAATTTATATAGTGTCGACACAATAATTTATATATACAGTATATGGCTTTATTTATAGTTATTAGAAGCCATATCAGCCGGACTTATCCCTGCTAATAGGAATCAAAACATAGCCAAATACCATAAACATTGAACACCTATACAGGTATGTTAAAAAAAAAGTGTAACAAACGCATCGAGTCAAATGAAGAAATTATTGTAAACAAATAGGACAGAAGGAAATAACATTTTTTTTTTTAAATAGAATATTCAACAATTTGTAATTTAAATTGTATCATCGTAGGGGTAATAGATGTCAAAAAACCAACACAAATGCTCAACTTGCTTACAATTGTTATTTTACTTTATTCGTGACACAAAACTATTTTGCTAATTATACACTGTATAAGATTGTATAATATAGTTGCTCTAATCAATATGTTTTTTTTTTTTTTATTAAAGTACCACCTTAAGGAATGGGGTGTGTGTACGCCGCGTCGTGTAAACGTACACAGGACAACCGGAACGGCCTACAACGGTGTGGTGAAAAGCGTTTTAGGTTAAGTGACGCCTCTGGCAGATGATCGATACTCTATGAGAATATTATACAAACACTTTTAGAGTTATGTAACACGCGGACTACGCACGGGCGATGGCTGTGCACAGAACACGTATATTATATGTTTATATATATTATATTCTATACGGTACACACTACACAGTACACCCCCGCGGTACATACGGGATTATACCGAATGCGCGCCCGTGGGGCGATATTATATTATAAATCATCTATCATCTTTGTGTACGGCTGTCGTGCCGAGTTTGACAACATGCGTAGAACATCCGATCCCGTGCCCGTCCACCGGCTGAGGGCCAACCGGCTCCGCAAAGTGAGCGCACAATGCGCCTAATGTCCCGAAAGCAGAGTGATCAAAGTGGTTACTTTCACCGTTGGATTGGCAATAAGTCGCGCGCGTACAAACGACAAAACGCGTGTAAACCCCTTAACGCCCCCCCCTCCCCTCGCTCCTTCCCTCCCTACAACACCCCCCCGACCGCCCTCCCCGCGTTTTGGATATGTTATTTGTAATTTTTCATGCCGCCGCCAGACAATAACTCATCGGTCTCCCGCGAAATTCGATTAGGAGGACCAACATTCTGTTCCCGCCGAAAAAGCTTCTTTTTCCTTTCCTCTCTGAAATACCGTTTCTTTGAAACGCCCCCACTTCTTTGATACGAGCGATTAATCCAGTGCCGCTGTTAATCGCCATTTTGAAACTAAGCCGCACACTAGGATAGTTCTAGGCGTTTGAGACCTGTCTAGTCTCTACACACTAACCATAACCATAAACGTAAATACAAATATTAGATATGTATTTCAAATAATAACATTCGTTGCTTTTTTTCATTTGTAGACCGTCAGAGACGAATGAATAAAAACGTTCAACATTTCCGAAATTGCACTTTTTCAACAATAATCATGTCGAAAGATTTTCTAAAATTATTAAAATTAGTTTAATTCCCATTCATCCCTTCACTTTCAAACACAATCATTTATTTCTATATTTTTTTACCATTACTAATATGCTTTACTAGTCGTTTTTGACCTAGTATGATAGTTAATTAATGTTTTTGTCAAAACTAAATTTCAATATTGCCTCCTGTAGTAAATTCTAACGTTATTCAATACAAATAATTTGTATGGAACTCAAAGTTATACTTCGACAATTGATATGCCCGCATAGTGTATGCTTATGGAATAGTTTGCAAGTCAACATCCACCTACACTAATCTGTTTTCGTTTATCTAATAATTTTCTTATTCTCAACAATTGACTTATATATTGGATTCTACACATCTTATTTCAAACAATAATATTGAACAATATACTCAAGAGTCTAAGTTTAACAAGATATTCGTGTATGTACATCTAATATTATTTCATCGCTTTCACCACTTCGCTTTTATCCGTGAACATCGTTACCATCAAAATTCACTTCCCTTTTGTTTGTAAATATTATTTTTTATATATTTCCATTCATTAGTTCTTTGATCTGCCTGTTTTATAATTTCTATTTTTATAATTACCCTCTTTGACTTTTTCCACTATTCCTGGTTAACACAACATCACTAAAATAAAAATTATTTTAGCATTTCGTAATGATATGAGGGATTTTGTTTCTGGACATTAAACAAGGAAAGGTTCAGAATATAAAAAAAAACCCATAAAGCGTTCTCTTTTTTTTTGTGTTTGTATAATATGTGTGATGCTGTAAGCTCTTTATTTTGGACTCGTTTTTAAATGGGAAATTTATTACACCCCATCCCTCCACCCTATCACCCTATCGGATGCGTCGAAACAACCTGTGTTTTTATCTGCTACCCGACTGTCATTAATCCCATCGTCGGCTTCAGCTCGATTGCATGTCCGTCAGGGTTATATATACGCCATTTTTATGCTTTTCAAAATTTAAATAGCATAGGGTCCATATGCATATAATTAAAAACACCAAACAGAATAAATTACATGCTTGAACCTGACATCAAATGTTCTAAACAACAAAGCGTTTACCAAAAATAAAAAAACAATAAAACAAAACAAAATCTGTGTTTTAGATTTTTACATTAATTAATATATTTTAATTTAGTCGTTGTACTATTTTTTAACAAAATTTAACTCAAAATTCGTACGTTATGTCATGGTGTTTCATATTTTAGTATATATATATCAGTTTACAGTAATCCTAACTGTGCCACTTTTTTTTTAAATTTAATTAGCTAAATATCTTTATTCCAAATAACTTTCGTCTATTCGAATAGGTGAATATTCTAAAAAAAAAATTATTTTTCGAATCTGTAATCCGTTAAGTGGTAATCCAGTAAAAATTCAACCAAGGAAATCAACAATGTAATGACTTATATAGTGTAATATATTCAAAATCCTTTTTTTCAATATGCAGTATACAAAACATATGATGTATGACGTTTCTGACATCTGTAGAGGACGCCCCAGTAAACAATTTTAGAGAAAAATATTACTCTCATTTTAGAAATACTACGAAATCGATAGTAAATAAATAATAAATCAAATTATTATTATAAGTCTATTCAAAGAAGCACAATATTTTAAATGTAACATAAGGTTTTATGGACAGATTTTGAATGTTTCTCTTAGAAGTGTCTGTGTAGAAACAGATAAATCGATAGATAATTTTTAAAAAAATGATATTTTTCAAGAAAAAGTAACTTTTATATGTGAACTTTTTATAATTTTTTATTGAAATTTCAATATTATACTAAAAAAAAACTTAAGCAACACTTATGGTTTTATAATAAAGATTAAAATAATAAAATATTTAACAAAAAATAATCATCAGTTCTCAGAACAGACTCGAGTGAGTGATGATGATGATAGCATTGCTACCGAAACATGAGTATATGCTAAAGTGTATTATTTTTATGGTCAAGGGTTTTTTTTAAATATTTTATTCCTTTCAGTATTATAATTTCTTACTATTTTAAATTATAAAAAATTGTTCAACGTTTACCAATACTTTAACATTACACGCCGAAGGTCCTCTCCTTAAAAAAATAAATATGTGTGACGTTCTCTTAAGAAAAGGAATTTCTCAACGTGTAATCGTGCACAACATGTCGTTCGTTTCAATTTTTTTTTTTTTTTATGAAGGCATCGTTCGAATATCTTCTTAGGGTTTTCGATTCAAATTGCTAGGGTTATATTTTTTACTGGCCATGAATTGTGATGCTTAACGAACCCAAGATGAAAAGTCACTCACCTGAAATGACGATTGTGATTACACAGATGACGAACATCATGTTGTAGCACTGACGGCAGAAAACGGGCCGCTGAATCATCGTGACTGCAGTGTGGTTTTGCTATTTTGTTTTACCGAACCGATTCCCAAGCGCTAGTCTCAAAATGGAGACTTCTGACTGGTTTGTCTGTAATACTCTTCAAAACGGTCACGTCAAATGTACAACATTGCGTTTGATTCGAGTGTTCATTATTTTCGAATCGTACCGTGACCGTAAGTGTTTTGCACTATGTGAAAATTCCTGAAAATAAAATTTTTGAAATTAGCTTCGGTCATATTAAATTATATTTTGATAATATTATGCATACAATACACGTCCAATAAAATCCGTCACTCATAAAATATTTAAAACCTAATATAATTCCTAAAAATATAAAGAATTGTCATGCCATCTCAAAAAAAAAAAAATTAATTGGACGAATTTCTGACTTCAATTAAATCTACAAAGGTAATACGTATGTCATTCAAATTTTCTCTCATTAAACCATATTACTTAAACTTTTTATTTAAATTCTTCGAGTAAAGTAGCTAAAAAAAAATTGCAAGTACTATACAAAATTTCAAGGTTTAACCAACGACTGTAACTTGAAAACAAGATTTTTTCTTTATAGAAGAAGTCCAACATTATTTGACGTAAAGTATAATTAATTTTATATTAATTTACGGTAGATGGTTTTAGCAGTTTTCCTGACACGTTTCTATAACCACCTTTCGTACAAGCTGTAGTATTAGCAGCAGTACTAAACTATATATTGTATATTGTTAGTTTGTACACATTCTCTTAATCTTTAGTTTATATATATATATATATATATATATATATATGTTTTAATTGTATTTTCGCCGCCTACATATTGCCAATTCCTATGATTAGTCGTCTTGTCACGTATTTTTTCATTCGTACCTCGCACAATTTTACTCACTGGACTTTTGTGTACATTTCAACATAAAATATATTCTCAGCTTTGCGACGAAGCAAATAACACTTTCGACCCTGGATACAATAATACAAAAGTCAAGTAAAAATTCAAATTTGATTTTATTTTAAATAGTTTGAAGGAACTTTAAATTATACGTTATCGTGGTTAAAATAACTATTAATATTTTTTACTATTTTAAATTTTATCCAATACCTCCCAACTGCATAATATTCAGAATTTGTCACCCAGTATTGGGTATTTTCTGAGGTTAAATACTTGAATGAATGAAAACAATAATGAATGTTTAAAAACAAAACTGGGGATATTATCTTCAATTGTTTTGTTCACTTATTTTTATTATTATTGGTATTTTGTTGTGAACTGGTGACACGTCATATCGAAGTTTGTTCATATTGTTAAAACTCGTACTATAAAAAAACTAATTTAATGTCAACTTTTAGAAATGAGTCAATATTTTTTTTTAAATATTTAATTATAATTCTGAAACTTTTTAGTATTTCCATCTAGATAGAACTATGTATTTAATATATTGTCCGTATTTAATTTAGCGTCTCAATAAATACAAACTTTATTTTCATTATTTTATCGATTTGATGTTATTTGTTTCACCACTTAAAAGTTTATTTTTCTATTTTAGACGTTCATATTTTTTTTGCAGCGTTCTTGTCTAAATCGATTGGTTTGATTAGAAAATAATTTCTACAAATATTAATAATTAGTGACAGACAAATCGGTTTTATGTATACAATAATGAAAACCCTGTTTTTATAATTGTATTAACTCTTATTTATAACAAGATTATTTTATTTATTAAATAATATTTGAGAACATTGTCAAACTGTCATCTATTTCCTCGTTTTTAATAATCATACATTGTATATAATACAATCGTCCGAATTGATCTGAATATAATATTAGAGGAACTTAAAATTGTATGAGCGGATTTACTAGTTGAAGGAAGCGCTGTACACAGATGTGTAGAAAAATATATTATAATTAGTAAAATATAGAAATAATAAGTCTTATTTAACATCGTAAACTGTTTGAAAATAAAAAATCAGAAAAATTCAAAATTCACAATGTGAATGGTCTGCGATTTGGCGCAAAGTACTTCATATATTATAATAGAGTCTGTCAACTTGACAGTGTCAAGGGAATCGAGTTGTAGCTTACAATTTATATTTTATTTTCCTATTGCATGAACACAGTTTACACCTTTTCATATGTATGTACAAATCTATTGACTAATATAAATGTAGAATTCTATTTTTTCGTGTGTACTTGATCACCGGTAGGATGTTAAATACATTTGACATTTTAAATAAAGTAGTGAACCGATGAAAACAAAAAAAAAACATGAACCTATTTTTGACATTTAACCTAAAGCGATCGCTCTCTTTGCATCGCAACCCTTTTTTTTTTGTAACTTGTGCCTTTATTGAACAAATATATTAAACTCGCTGTGGGTGTGTTGAATCAAAGACTTTAATACCATATAATGGAGGTTATGGCGTGACTGACAATAGGGACGGTAAAGCGTAGTATATGGCGTGAGTAGCAATAGTTAGATTGTTTTACAACCCGATTTCCCCTCATCTTTTGTTATTTTTTTTTCACCTATCCCATTCGTATATCCCTATGCTTTTGCACATTGAGCCATGTAAAAACACGTGAACCGTAATATTATCACGTTTAAACGTTCCACGATATTTACCGGGTCATTATCGCGTTTTATTGGCCGCGCAAAGCATTATGGATGACAACTCAATGGCAATTAGAAGACTATTTTTACAATGCAAATTGCTTCCCGCCGCCACCCTTGGTTAATTTTTTTTTTTTTTTGAATACCCTAAAATGTAAATAATTTAGTCAATTTAAAAACATTTATTTTTAATTTTTGTCTTCCATTTAAAGGGGGAAATTTTAACGAAATAGTAATAACATAATTTTAAAACATTTCTTTGTCAATATTTTTTTTTAATATTTTTAGATCATAATTTGACAAGGAATTGCGACAACATACGCATATTTCAATGATATTTCCTAAATCTTACAGATTTAAGTAATATACAAAATTATTTTCATAACCTTCAATAAATATTATACTAAATATAATATTTATTCTTAAATTTAATTAATTTTATATAATTTTTCCAACAAACTCTCCTCCCATACCTCGTCCTTTCCCCCCCCCTCTCTTGCCCATTTCATGGTGTCACTTTTCATATATCTTCAGCCCCAAATATATTATTGTAATAGCTTTTTTTTTTACGTTTGATATAATATCAATATTTAATATTGTAGAAAATTTAAAACCATCATAAAGTTAAATCTATTGCGATTGTGTGGACAAGTAGTATTTTAGGGACGACAATAAAAACTTTTGAACAAAAGTTGGTAATTTTTTTTAGTAGCTCAACTAAAAATGTGAACTTTTTAAAAAGGTTATCATTTTTATATTTTTTGCTATTTCAGAATCAGAAGCCGCCGGCTTTCAAACAAAACAGGTCTTTATTTATGATGTGATATCTCAGCTATAAAGTTTCAAAAGTTTTAATTAGATGTCAGAACTGATTATAGAAATTATTTTATTAAAACAAATACTAAAATAATTTGGTACGCCATGAAATTCTTGTATAAGAATAACATATTTATGTCCAAGAGTCAAAACTGAAGTTTATTTTACGTGTCAGACCAAGTGTGCCGTTCAGACAAATAGTAATTGTGAGGCTCAAAGTAATAGCTTAAATTGTTTTTATTTTAAGATAGTACTTTATAACGTAAACACTTAAGAATATTTTTTAATTAATTTTAGTATTCATTTAGTTAAACGTCATTTCAGATGGTAAAACTTTTGATACACTGAACCTTTAAAGTTATACGCCATAAAATTATAAGTGAATGTCTACAAAATTATTTTTATGTTAAAAACTTTGCAAACTTGCATTTTTCTTAATTAATTTTATTTACCATAGTCACGCTGTGGCATGTTGCTTTTTAAATTACTGTAGTACCTACCTAAAACAATTCAATATTCGTTGTGATATTGATTACACTACTGATGTAGTGATAACAAAGGGGTTTTTAATTATTTGCAAACATATGCTAGAAGTATGTAAATAGGTAATTAATAAATAATATTAAAAATTAAGACAACAAATGTTTTTTGTTATTTTACAAACTAAACAACGTTTCCGAATGAGACTAAGTGACAGATAAAAAGTGAAAAGATATCTCATTTTGGAGATCACTATTTGACATGTAGACACAGAAGTAGTTATCACGCCAAAGTTACACATAGGGAAGATCTCGACATCAGGTTACAGATTATTTTTTGGCTCTAATTCCAATAGGCCAGTTTAAACCGAGGTCTAAGGTAGTATAGTGAACGAATTTATACGTTAAATGTTAAAAAGAGTACTAAATAATAATCAACAGCGCATTAGTGTACAAGTACGAGTACAAACTACAAGGACTTTTTAATAAGCAATTCACTTGACAACAGTCATAAATTGATTATCTAATACATGGATTTACAATATAACTACAAGATATGTTTGTATTTATTATTTAAATAAACAGCTAACGTAGGCATAAACAAAACTATTTTTATCAAATTCAGCTTGTGTTTATATTTTATTGCATTAAGTCACGTCATTCGGTTGAAAATAATATGTTGAGTCCGTTAGTACCTTGTACCAGACAGTAACCTCACTCAAACAACAAATCGGACGTCTTTTAACTTGGAATTTGAAGATCTAGCCTCTTTGAAAGTAATAAGAGTCCATTCAAACTCTATAGCAAAATGCAAAATTCAAAAATCCACTCGATAAATTTGAACTACTTCATAGATTAAACAAATTAACCACATTACTGTCGTTTTAAATATTAGTGTACTGTTTTTTATAACGTAAACTATAAAAAAGTATTAAAAATTTTCAAAAACAAATTCTTAACGTTAAAAAAAAATGAGTTACAACGACTATCATAGTGGATAATGTAGGTGTTTGCCAAGTATGGTTCTTCTTATGTAATAAAATGACACATTTATCTACATGGTTACGCAGGGAATAATATCCACGTGTAAACTACTCTTAGTCCTTAGTTCTTTTTGACTATATGTGACATTTATTTTATTGCATTTTAAACCCATTTTCCATTTGGAGTCGAAGATAATAAACGAAAGGTCATAAAAATTCGATGACATAAGTTTTTCAGAAAATAATCTTCACGCTATGCCTTTCCGTAGGAGCCAAGTATTTTCATTCAACTCGTTTTGAAAATTTTTATTATAACACCA